CAATCAACCATCCACACTCTGTCACACCTGGAGTCACACAGAAGAGCTCCAGAAGGTTTCAAACTGAGAACTCAGGACTCAGATCATCTGCTGCACACAGTTCTGATCACTTCAGCAGCCGCATGCAAACGCAAAGTGTCAGAAGAGTCCTTAACTAGGATGAAGTTAGGCAATTAAATATTCATGTATGTGTAAATTTATTACCATAATTGCAGGTGAGTGGCYTAAATTTATGTTTTTATAAAACAAGTACCCCCCACCCACCCCCTAGACCAATTTCCTAGGGGAAACACTGCAAACTGTAAGCTGAGACAATGACAAATAAAAGACAAAACTGCAACACAATACCTTCTTCTTTAATGCARAGTTAACACAAACAGTGTTCAGCACAGTAACAAGGCTGCACATTATATAGAAAATATATCGTTACAGCAATATTGATGCATTACTAAGGGCCGCCTAATCAAGTCAAAGTGGTCCTCTGGGAAAAAAAATGATGCCCACCCTTGGGCTAGGGAGACAAGAATGAAAAAAAAAAAGCTTTAATTGTGGTTGTATTCAAAACAGATCGGTATCTGGGCAGCTTTTCAATGACATGTTAATACCAGGTGACCTTGGTTAATAAGAGCTTCTCTTGAAAAGAAGAAAATACCAGAGTTCTCATAGGCTTTTCCACAAACAGGGAACTGTTTCTACTATAAACAAAAGATAAGCACCAGTGGAAACCTAGACTGGATTAATGCTTCAGGGCAAAAGAGCTGGTCTGTCTGCACACAATTTTTTCCTACATCAAGTACACAACTTCAACTGGCACGTATAGCACGCTGCTCCAGGTGCAGATATTCAAAGTTAATTTGCATTTAACACAACTAGTCTGACACGTCCTGGAGTCTGACAGATACAAATAAGTGGAAAAACACACACCCCTAATGGTTTAGTGAAGGGAGGACATGCGCCCCTCCATGCTTCAGCAGTTGCACGCAAACGCAAAGTGTCCCCCCCACTCCCCAGCTGTTCCTTTCGGAGGGGTCTGGATCCGACAGCTGTCCCTCTGTCCTGAACAGAGCGGCACACAGTTCTGAAAACACACCCGCTCAGCACATTGTTCGGTGGGCTCTCTCCTCTCTCAGCAGGGTTCTGTCAGGCAGGCAAAACAAAAGACACCCAACACCGGCTGCTACAAAGACCGCGGAAATAATGTGCGCGCGCACACACACTTACACACACTCAACTGAGGCTAAAAGGTCTGTTTATCTACCTCTGCTTGGAAAGAATTACTGATGTCCTTTAAAATTTGTTTTATTCATATGGTTTTGCATTGAACTGAATAAACTAACTGCCAGATGAAGTAAATGATCTTCACTGTTTTGTTTTAAATGAATATATTTAAAACCTATGAATGAAAGTGAAGTGAAGGACTGGCTTCTGCATACAGTTAGATGTGAGAAAGAAATAAAAACACGAAACAAGACAACTTACCAAGACCGGACGCGTAGATGGCCTTGACGGACTTTTTCATCTTGTAGAGAACACTGCGGTCCACATCCAGAGCCTGAAGGGACACAAAGAGATGACAACGCAGACGTTAAGAGAGGATTTATACAGTCATGTGTTAATTATTCACATTTTTCTATCTGATTGCAGAAACACCCATAATACAAGAAGTACATAAAGAAAGTAAACGAGTACAACACATATTAAACTATTAGTTTAATCCAGAAGGAAAGAACCTAGAAGTTGATCCATCATATACGTGTACAGTAGTCAAAGCTGCATGACCYACACTGGTTTAACAGCTGCTTCTGTTTGTGAATTACTAAAGTAGAGAAACAGCAGCCAAATAAGGAACACACTTTTATGCCGACTTGGTGCAAGAGATTTATGAAAAACGGGCTTTTGTTCTGAGGGTTCCTGCAAAGCAACTTTGTAACATGAAGAGAGCCGCGGCTCTTAAGCATTTCATCTCATCTCCTAATCTCATGTGAGCAGTTGTTTCAGTCCATGCTTACGTATTAGATACAGTTTGTGTGTTTGTGCCACTGTGTCTCCAACTCATACATTATTCAAGGCAAATCTATAAATAGACCCGAGCCTTCTCAGGGATTGTGCTACACGTAAAAAACCATCAGTAAAACCGTTGTCAGACAGCAGTGGTAGGAATATGAGGTGTATTTCACGCAATACAGTGTTCCAGTGATGTAAACATCCATGCAGAAAACAAATAATCATGTTTAGACATGGTTCCCTCTCAAAACATTAAACCCAGACTGCACCCAACGCTGGCAGCTCAGTCGAGACAATGCACCACTTTAGCACTGAGATAAAGGAAGGAGCTTTTTGGGATGCAAGGGGCTTTTAGGAAATTACTTTTAAGTGACTTTATTAGGCACGTCCGCTCAAGCAGACCAAAACCAGTGCCATGTTTCTCTGCTCTGCTTTCCATACTAATGAGACATCTTTGGTCCCCTGGATTGTCTAAAAAAAATTGAAAAAACGTGAAGGCTGTCTAATCTATCACACTCTCTTATTTGCTACATGTCATTAATAAACTTAAATTTGGTTTTTAAAACAGTTTTGTTAGTGGTTTGGCATTGAAATACAATCTTTGCTGCAGAGTCATATTTCACCCACACAAACAGAAAAGACTGAACCAAAGTGATGTAAATTGAGCATCACTTTGAGAAAAAGCAGGAATATGACATTAAAAAATTTTAATAATAATTTTGTTCATAGTGACTTGAATGGTCCAGATTTAATGTGAGTATTGTTATACTGCCATTACATTTTTCCTGAACTACTATAGGTTTCTTCACAATTTTTTTTAAATTAAAAAAGAATGAAGGACAGATTGTGACTAAATTAGTTTCAGCAACTGTAATACTTGAATCTCATACACATATATATCATATATATTCTTTAGGATGCTTTAAGATACTGTATATGAAACAAAAACATTTGGACATTCGCTGATAATCATAATCAACCATCCATTCTAGATAAGAGAAACATTCTGTGAAACTGATCAGACTTAAAAAGGATAGTTTTGTCATTTTACTGTTCGGTCAAATCAGTACGAGTAGTTAGTATCTTATAAGCCTGAAAAATCAAGTTAAATATGCCCTCATTTAGCTAGCCAATAGCCTGCATCAAAGTTAGTTATGGGGTTCCACAGGGTTCAGTGTTTGGACCAATATTGTTAACCTTTATWTGTTTCTATCAAGCAATAAAAAGTATAAATTTTCTCCTCTTCGCAGATGATATTCAACTATTCTTGTCAACGAGACTTGATGAATTTAATAAATTAGGTTATGTATAGACCTGTCACAATAAAAAAAAATTACTGGACAATAAATTCTCAGAAATTTTGCGATAAATATAATATTGTTGGAGACCAGTTTAAACTAATATAATGATAGAACCCCCATGTTTATGGAAGTTTACATAAAAATTACATAGTGTAAAAAGAAAAAATTCTCGGCAATCCCACGGTGTAGCCAGCTGTATAAATGCGTCAGAAAAATGAAGATGCTCCTCTAGATAAAAGCCTATTCACGGGCTTTCATGCTACAGATGTTGGGAGACCCTGTGCCTGGCAAATACSTGATGCCAGAGTTCACTTCTCTCTACACTAAGAAGTAGAAAAGAGGGAGACGCAAATAGAACAAAAAAGCAGGCAAATGAAAATTATTATTTTCATTTTATCTTCCTCAGTTTAATTTATCATACGATTAATTGATTTTGTTTATTGTGACAGGCCTAATAATATTTGCTCCCAACAGTACCTAAACATTACAAGGTTTCCAGTCATTTGWTGCGTCATTTGAATATGTTTTTAAATATGGCAAATTCAAAAAGGAAATAACATTGAAACTATATTTTAACCATCATCACGTGATAAAATTAAAATATGCTAAAAAATAAAGTGTGCTGCATTTTATCAAAATAACTGTACAAATTAAAAAAGTCCTTTGAGCAAAATGTGGGATTTACAAGACTGCGGTTTCAGCTCCTTCAGCTCCTGTTTAATGACTCATCTGTAACATATGCCATTATCCTTTTTTCCTCTGCCTGGCTAAGATGGTGTCTCCAGCTGCAGCTTAGACCCCACACATCCAGGTGCCTGTCTGCACTCTGTTCTCACAGCTATTTTAAAAACAAGCATAGAAAAAGGCAAAGACAAGTACAGCTGCTCCTTGGTGCAAATCAAAAATCTGTTTCTGTCGACACCGCTGATCCAATCCAACCGCAGGATGATTTAAGACAAAGACTGTTTTCTTAACTGAGCTGGTAACTCTTTGAACTCTGTCTTACATTAAATTTTTGTTCATTCTGAGTTGAAAAGGTACAGTGTTAAACCAAACAATTGTATACTTAGTAATTCGAAATACCAAGTATTTATTATTTTGGCCAATGAATATGAATGTCTGGTGGATTAATTTCATCCACGTGTTCTCTTAGTAGATCGATACAACATGAAACCCTGGTTGACCTCCACATTTTGCCAAAATTAGGCCTGAGAATTAGGTTAGCTGAAGCCTTTTTATTTTTGAAGTGGAGAGCTCTGATCAACCAAGGATTCTCTTGCTTTTATAAGAGCGCGCACACACACACACACACACACACACACACACACACACACCAAAGGACACACAATATCACGCTTCACCACCCCCTTTTCAATTCCCATAAAGTGGTCTGATGGAGACAACAGACAAGCAGAGTAATAAACCAGCTGAACACAACAAACACCCCTCTACATCATTCTCAGCCTCTCATGTCATCAATCACTTTCACGTGTTCTGATTTTCCATTTTAGGTTTGAGCGTCACGCCGCTCGTACAAGAGTCAACATTTGTAGCATGTATCCATTTAAATTAAGACGCACACTGTTCAAAGGGAGATGAGGTTTCTAAAGACCAGAAGGAGAGATGAAAAGTGACCTCACTAGCACACTTTTATATATTACTGCCATGTCAGCATTTTTATTTCCCCGTTAGCATCTCTTTGTAAACAGTTTTTTTTCCCCCTGGCAGCCAGATGAATTGAATTAATCCTCGTCTTAAAACATGACATCATCATGATCACAACCGGTCACCATCTGCTGTAGCCAATCTACACACTCCATCACGAGACAGCAGGGTCTTGAAGGTCATAGTCATAGAGATTCACTTATGTGCATTTTCTGAACCGCTGAGTATAACGCGTTGTGTTACTGACMATTACCAGTGACCAGGTCAGACAGATAATCAAAAGTGAGTAAAGAGACAGGAAAAACAAGCAACAAAAAGACTAAAGSTAGTAACCCTATTTGGATTCCACCGCAGCCATTTTTAACCTCTTTCTCCAGTTTGCAAAGAAGAAAAACATTCCTGGATGATTGCACGCTGCAGTAACTGACAGACAAGACAGAGATCCAGCCTCATTGTTCTCTCCAACCAACTATCTGCTGATGACAGCATGTCTGTGCTGCAAGGTGCTTCCCCGCTTCTCTAAGAGGGCCCCATCTCCATACAAAAACACACATGTCCAGTTCAAACAAAAAGGGCTACTATCCAAGCAGTTCACCGTGTGTAATACTACAGTTACCATCACTACAGACACACACATGGTTCTGTCTGTGTGTCTTTATATCTTGTCTTCTGAGCTCTCCTCGCTCTGTAAACTTCCCCCACAACAGAAACAAAAGTCTGCCACACACTGCGAGGAAAATGCATTTATGATGCAATTATCCGATTTATTTGCTGCTAATGTGGATACAGTATCTGCAATGGTGAGTTGTAACCCATGTCTCACCGAAGGAACCAGATGTTGTACAARTAAAGCCAACTTCAGTTCACTAGAAAAAAAAATTATAAGTTATACATTATAAAACACACAGAAATTTAAAAAGAAAAAATTGTTCATAAGTAGAAAATCATGATTAGGACTTAAAGTCACATTTATTTTACAACTACAATGTGGTTAATTTTGTGAGAAGCAGCACCTACTTATAAACACCAATTGAATTGGTAAAAGACAAAACCAGTTCTTTGGAAACAAACCTTTTAAGCTCTAAATAAGAGTAAGACTGAGCAATAAACAAAGGAGATTGCGCTCATATACATATATACAAATATAGGGGGCAGTTTTGGTCGGTCCAACAGAATGAACGCCCTATACCACTGAACAAATAAACACTGCAGCAGTCGGTGTGTCTATAGTTCTGGTCAGATTTAAATGCACACCCAATCATTACCGAAAAACATTGTTTATGCCACTGATGGGTGTGAAAACTATGTAAAATGTATACAAAAAAAAAAAAAAAACTGTACAACGAGTAGACTCAAAAAGCACAAAAACAGAGAAAAGACTGAAAAGGTTCCAAACAGACCAACCTGACAATTTGTATTTTTCTTTTTTCTTTTACGATGTTTTGTTTTTCTTGTAAGAATGTCACAATTATGACTAAGTTACCAGCAATAAAGTTATGTTGATGGCTTTCAAAGTGATACTTGCAACAAATAACTGGCGTTATTCACATGGAAAGGCACAATTCAACACTTCAAGCATCGT